TTAAAATTTAATGGATATTTCTTATGTTGAGCTTATCACTGTAAAGAAGGTTCATTTAAAAGTTTCATCAGTTTTACTTAACTGTTTCTGCTTGCTATGCAGTCATTTTGTTTCAAAATATGAACTCATCCTAGTGCTCCTCTGTTACCTTCTGACAAGACGTTATCAGCAGCATAAATTAGTTACTCAAATTTCATATTAATGGTTTTGCTTTCCTTTTGATCATATTTATCGAATCATACGCTGAAATTTAAAACATGGGTTATCACATCAGCATAATTTCAAAGCATATTATTTCTGAATTAAATTACGCAAGATTGTTTATTTAATAAAACTTATCAAAATTCATCATTATAAAGTGAGGCCTTTAAACGATGTGCAATGACTTCAGTATCAGTTTTGAAAAATCAAATGCAAGAATTCAGAAGGACACTTCGTTTTGAGCTTGTTTCGCTTTAAAATGAAAGTCAGCGCGGGAAAGTGTAATGACTGAATTTAAATGATTTTTTTTCAAATAAAATATTACTATAATGTCTAGCAATAAAGGTTATACGGTGAATAGTAGCAACAAACAACAATACCAATGATGTTTTTAGTTCAAAAGTTTGGAGCTTAGGAGTATATTTGTCTCCGCAACTAATGTGCAGAACATTGCATTAAATTTATCAAGACGATATCTACAAACACAGTTTGTTATTTGTTATTTCTATTCATAATTATAAATTGTTTTCAAGTCTACAAGTTGATATTGCAAACTTTTCTTCTTTCTTCAGCACTATTTTCATGAGCCGAAATAAATGACTATAATGTAATCATGATAAAATAATTTACGTAGATCACATAGATTTTAAACACCAAATTTGAACATCCATGCTCATGATAAGGCGATGATCAGTTTCCTCCTCAAAAGATGTATTGCTGTCCATCAGTTGATATCAAAAATGTGTTGTTTTGCAGGTAGGTTAAGTCGACGATACTTTGCGATGTGGTCAAGAGATGCATAGAAATGCTCAACAGCTGCTCAAATACTACGAAGACTACAATTTGGTGGTTGAGAGCGTTAGGTTTTTTGGTTCTGATAAATGCAAAAATTATGCAGCGTGAAACAACAATTTTACGGCTCAAAAGAGTACAGTCTGCAAATGCATGAGAAAAAAGCTGGCCTTCACTGATAGTTGCACATATCAGTCAAGGAATGTGTCTTTTTGACTGCGGTGCGACATTCTAATTTGATGTAAAAATAATATATTCTAATAAATATTTAGTTTTCAAATCAAACTATATTGATTTTGCACGCTCGAAATTTGCGTAAAATTGTTTTTTTACGTGCATTTCAATATGGACCACAGAAGGAAGTTCATGCTTCACATAGCAGTTGAATAACACTTTGAATTATTTTTCAATATTCAAATTTTTCAATCATTTGTAAATTATCAAGCTTTTTGTGATCTGTGAAATAACCATAAATTTTTTCAATATTATCATATCTTTACTTCCTAAAATATTAGTAGCAGCACAATTTTCGGTAGTTTAGAATCAGAAGCAGGAAATCAAATGAAACATTTTCAAACTAGTCTACGTTTTATTAGATTTTATGCAAAAAAGTTAAATTTATTTATAGTTTTCTGTATTATTAAGATTCCTACAAAACTGGACTCATCTGCAAAAATTAATGTTTGAGAAATTTAAACATCGCTTGAAGTAATCATGCAAATCAATGTATTTTATTCACATGTTGTTTTTATTATAGAAAATTTAAAATTGAATTAATTATACGTCTGATTTTCATACTTATTTTTCAATTAACAGTTAAAATTAGATGGAAGTGAATTTTTAATTTTTAGTGGAAAATTAATGTGGATGTAAGTTATGTTAACCAATTTTGAAGCATATTTTTATAGTTGAATGAAAAGTGTTTTACGCAATAAATTAAATATTTATAAAGTGATTTGCACACATTTTTGTAGTTTACTTTAAAAGAAGGATTTATTAAAGAAATCATATTGAATTGTAAAACTAAATTCAAAGTTAATCATTCTTGTTTCTTTCACATTAAACAGTATTCAATTTATTTTTGTTTTTCCATAATAGTTTTGATTAGTACATTAATCGCCTTCTTACATTTTAGTGTGTAGCTCAATAACAAGATAACAATAAATTTATTTTAGACATACTTGCTAATTAATTAAAGTAATCGAATTATTGACAATTTTTATCTAAAAAACATCAAAAATTCCATAATTATTAGTTATTTTTTCATCAGTGTATGCGAAAAACTTTAAATTATGTATTAACAATGCATTTTTTGTGGAATGAAATCAAGTAACGTCAAAAAGTGTTTAGCTTTCTTACGTCCAATAGTAACGGAAATAAGCAGTGGTATAAAGCATTTTTGTTTCATAAAAATAGCAAATTTTTATTATTAATTTTTTTGTAAGTATAGCTGCTATGTGTTATTACAAAACAAAGTTAGTCGTAATATTATAATGAAAATGCAAATTAAAATACTAATTGTTAGATTCGTATTAAGTTATGTTCAAGTATTTTTGAATCATAAAATTAATAATTTTCAAAATTTTACCGAAAATACCGTTATATACTTGACAATTTTGAGTAAATGTGATTAATGAAAAATTTTGTTTGTTTTATTTTTTATTTATGTACAAATTAGTGTATATTATTCATCATATAAAATCATATCAATTAATTAAAAATAATCACAAATTCTCCAGTAAAAACATTGTCTACAAAAGCAGTTTAAATGCTCTCTGAGAAAAATTTTATCGGAGTAGTAATTTTTGCAAAAAACTATGAATATTATGGAAAAATTCATAAATGAAACAATATTAATACGTTTGCTACATTAGATATTTAATATAAACGAATTAAAAGTCAGCACAAGAAGTCAAATAAACAAAAAACTTGTAATATATAATGCAATATAATCAGTGAATTTTTAAATGTTTGAAGTATACATTAAAATGAAAAACTAATATTATGCAAGTAGTAAGTGTTTATAATAAATCTAAATGATAATAGATATGAAATAAAAACAAGTAAAAAATTGTTCAGGCAGAGCAATAAACTCAACCTTACTACATATTCTAAGTATAAGCAATTTGATTTTTACAGAATTCTCAAGCTAGCAATTGAATATTTTGAAGGACAATGATAAAATGATATGCTAAATAATTTGATTAACTGGATTATCATCTAGAAGTTTTCATTTAAACACATGCATTTGTAATTACCGTCCATTCAGCTAAGAGTTATTTTCTTTGTACTAAATATATTGAATGAGAATATATGTTGAGTTTTTTATAATCGCTGTGTGACTTAAAAGAATTGTTATCAAATTTGTCGCTATATCTTTAAATGCGTCTTACAAATTATTTAATTCAATTAAGCATGATTTGACTTATGTTTGCGATAGCAAATAGTTTCAAAAATACGCAAAAGATATAAAAACTATCAAAATTATTAAGAAATATTTTGTACTAATATTATTAATAGAATAATAGTTTTGCATTACATTTAAATATATGAATAAATACTTGATGGCTTACAAACATTAGATAATATCAAATACAAAATTTTGCTTGCAATATTAGCAAAAAACTAAACAGATATATATTGAAGACATACTTTTTTGAACATCTGTAAATATTTACAACTAATTAGATTGTTTTTTGCACCAAAAAATTGCTTTTTAAAAATTTTTATTTTAAGACATTTTTTACTTGTTGACGTAAAAAAAATCGCTTTTGATCAGCGGCAACTTCAAATATTGCTAGAAATGACGCTAATTAGTGCTGTTAAGTAAATTGTAACTGAAAGCAAAGAAAAAATGTGCAGACGTATGCTAAATGAAATATGAATTTAACAGATTCTCAAATGCAATTAGCTCTAAAACAAACTAATTTTTGTTCATTTTCTCTTTAACTTTTATTCGCTTCGCACTCTCATAACCATTGCTAACCTTTTATTATTGCTTGACCTTTTATTATTGCTTGACCTTTTTGAATTACTTTTTGAAATTGCAACTGCATTCTTTTTCAGTACGTATAGAGTAAAATTTTTAATTTTTTCTGGAAAGAAAAATTTAGCAGAAGACTGTAAAAACGGAAAAAAAATTTAGACCATTTCAACGCAATGTTGGCGTATTTTTGCTTAATATGGCTATTAATAATGAGCTGTACCGAAATATCATCTTCAAGATCTACTGGTAATAAATATTTATCACATGGAACTGATATTACTTCATTAGCTATTGAACTACTTGGTAAGAATTGTCATTGCTTTTCATAATAAAGTTTAACTTGAAGACGTAAAAAATTAATACGTAATTAAAGTTTACAACAATTATTAAGAATATACTCATATTGTAAATATTTATGAATTTCAGGAAATGGATAATAAAGAGTTAATATTACTTCATTAGCTACTGAACTACTTAAAATGGCTATTAAGTACTGCAAAATAAAATATGTACTAAAATCAAATAAACACAATCAAAATTGTTATTGTGCATAAAATTGTCGACTAAATAACCACAATTTTAACGTTGAAATAAATAAATGTTTTCTATAGAGGAATATTTGTCCGCTGGAAATGTGTTTAATACAAAATTACTTTTTTCCCAAAAAAAATTCAATTTCAGAATTCATACCATCTAGTTTGCTAACATTTTTCGGTGATCTGAATGATACAGATCGAAGCGCTTTGCTAGAATTAACAAAAAAAATTTCTCGAAGTCGCTTGACAACACACAACGAAGAATTTCTCGAAGGATTAAAAGTCTATAATTTCATAAGCATTTACCATAAATTGAAATAATTTTCTAATATTTTAGTTTAATTGAACAGTTAGGCCTTCAAAAAGTTCTCATGAAATTTTATCAATTCTGTATGTTTATTTTTTCAGAAGAAAAGTGAAAATGCTTATCAAAAAGTATTGGCTGTGCAAAATTACTTATCACACAAAGTTGAAAACTTGGAACCTGAAAGTAAAACTTTCGCAAAAAAAGTTTGTTAATACTTTTGTAAATTATTTCTTACTTTTTTTTTCACTAATTTTCGATTTATTATTTTTTATTGATGTTTTATACATTGAAATCGTTTAATTTCTACAAACTATTTTAAATTACTTTAAGAAAACTAAATTTTGAATTTAATTTGTTTTTTTAACAATTTTAGGTCAGTGATAAGTATATATCACTCTTTACTAATCCGCAAACTGCACCAAAAGGAACATTTATGAAACTAAAATTATTCATAAATGAAATATTTAAAATATTCGATGAATTGAGTTCAACAGCAAAAAATGACTTGCAGAAAGCATTCCCGGAAATAGCGCAACTAATTATGAGTACGCTTTCTTCGAATTATCACGAAAATTGTAAAATTTAAAGTTCAAAAAAAGTTCTTTATTTCTTTTAAATTTATTTTACTTTTCTAAGATAATTATTTTCTAAAAAAAAATTGAAAAATTCAATTAAAAAAAATGTTATTTACAAATTTAAAATTAGAATAAAAAAAGTTTTATTACAAATTTGTGAGTAGTACTTAACAAAATAAAAGTATTAAACAAACTTGAAACATGCTTAACCTTTGAGGAAAAAAATGAAATCTTTATAAACTTAATATATTTTACAAAACTGTAATAAATTTCAAGCACAACAATATTTTATTTGTATTTTTTGTTTTACAATCAATTAATTAATACTTAAATTTGTAACACTGAATTATTAATAAAAAATTTTCAAAAATTTGGTCATTTTATATCAGATCCACGATTTCGGAATTACGTAAAACGCGTTTTCGATAGTACTGATGTAAGGAGAGCATTTAATCGAGCTGATAGGATGATCAATCCCAAGCAATAATTTATAATTTGTCAATGCATTTTACTTGGTTATGTTTGTTGGCAATATTTGCAGAAATTTTATTACTACTTAAATTCAATAATTAAAAGCAATGAAATTAAGCCGCTTGCAAAGTAATTAAAATAAATTTTTTGAAAGAAATTATTGCTTTTAAAAAAGCTTTTTGCATCAAAACTTACCTTTATTTCAAACCTAGAACAGCTGTTTTTTAATACATTTAATATGTTTTCAAACTTCTTTGCCCCAAAATTAAGTATGTAATTTTAAGTTAGCAAAAAAATGCTTTGAAAATAGAATGATTTGTTTTCATTTGTTTGATAATTAGGCTCATGTATCACGTTTGCATTAAAAGCTGAGAAAAAAAAATTTGGTGATTAAAATTTTGCAGTAACTTTCATTGACCTTTGCAACAAATATTTTTTTTCAAAAATTGCATAAATTTATTTCGTATTTCTATTTATTAATCTGTTTTTAGGATAATATTAATTTGTATTTTTCTTGAAAATTTAATAATTTGCATAATTAATAAATGTTTTTCTTTTTTGCTTGTCACATTCTTCAACTTCTTACATTTCATTTGATGCTAAAGCAATGCAAACTGCTTAGTGGCTAATTGATAAAAAAAATTGAAGCATTAATATTTGAATATGTTGAAAAATGGTAGAGGCTATCAATGGTCAATGAAAATAGTGGACATCATTAATGGTCACAAAATTAATAAAATATCTATTTTCTGTAATTTGCTCTTTGTTTAGATCAGTTTGGTTAAAAAGTTTTTGACATAAAAGGAGCAAAAAAAAAAACTTCTTTTGCTAGTGGACATCATTAATGGTCACAAAATTAATAAAATATCTATTTTCTGTAATTTGCTCTTTGTTTAGATCAGTTTGGTTAAAAAGTTTTTGGCATAAAAGGAGCAAAAAAAAAAAACTTCTTTTGCACAATTTTAAAAATAGTTATATTTTTTATGCTAAGCAACAATTTTTTGTCAACATTTGCCATTATGTTATTGATGGATAATTTTTTTCAGCATATAGTAGTTGTTTTTTTTCAATTAAAGTCCACTTTAATCACATATTTTGAGCAATTAAAACTTTTCACAATTACAAATTAAAAGAAAAAAATTAATATTTCAGTGCTATTCTTTTCGACTGATTTCTGTCACATAAATAAAATTAAATTCCTCTGCAAAATACCAAAACACACTCTTATCAAATTGTCATTTTTATTGCCTTATCGTAAAGTCCTTACTTTTCTGTATTATAAAAATTATTCACAAAGTGTACAATCGATTCTGTGCAAGAATTTATCTTCATCAACCTGCGAAATTCACTCTGTTAAAATGTTAGTTTAGACTTTATGCTTGAAAATTTAAATTTTAACTGTGAAATTTAATAATTATAAGAATATTATAATTTGCTGACATCTATTTGGGACAAAAAAAAATTAATAGAATAGCAGCTGCTACTAATTTTGAAGAGTTTGAATTCATCATTTGTTACTGCAACGATAAAGTATTTATTTTATAACAAAATCAGTGTAAAAACTACTCACATAATAGGATTAATGATATTACTATTATTACATTCAATCGTTGTCATATTATTAAATCAATCAAATGACACTGATTTTCATATTAAGAAAATTGATTTGACAGAATTTTCCAGTAAACAATAATATAAGTTGCAACTTTCTCTACTTCAGATTGAGTGCAAACAATCAGAAACATGCAAAAATCACTACAACGTTTAGTTCTGATGGACTTCAGCCATATTCAGGTCAAAATTTAAAAATTATTACGAGTAATCGATATGTTATGTTAAACGCGTATCATTCATATATGATGCATATATTTAGAATCATTACGATTGCAATCAATTTGAAATAGGCTCGCTTGTCATAAATTCAGTAAATTAAACAAAATAGAGCTTCAAAGCTAAGTTTATATATATATATATATATATGTATATGTATAAAATTTTGATTACCATCAATCATTACTAACTACCGCTATTATTATCTTAATTATAGATTTAAAAACCAAAGCATTTCTTGTTAGTAAGAAAAAAATTGAAATTTTCTAAAATTTTACCGAATGCTCTTCGAAAAGAAATTCTCTCAGTGCATATTTTTCATAGTTTATAAAAAGCTCTCATTAGCATTTTTTGGTTCCTTGATACCGAAACAGCTCTAACTATATTTCAAACTATTATAACGGTGAAAACGTGTTAAGTAATTTGAATCAAAGTTTGCGAGTATCTCACAAATAGTGTAGGATTATTATTCACACTTCACTGTCTCTTATTTGTTTTTCAGTTCATTAATTATTATCAGTTTGTTAATTAACAGATTAGCCAAAGCACTGTTGTCATCCAAACAGTGACCTTTTGATGTCAAATGAACTTTGTTGACTATTATAATTCTCGTTATAATTTTTAGTGCTTATCAGTTATTAAAGCAAATATCTCATCAAGAACAATGGATGGTTGTGGTAATATCTTATCTGAAAAGGTACAGAGAGTGGCATATTCTGGCAAAAATATGTTGAAAGATCCGTTAAGTATTGTCGATCCCCAAGCTTATCAGATTATGCAAAAGGTTCTCTTTTCATTAAAAAATGTTCATTTCATATTCACAAGTTCTACTGTAAAATTTTTCGTGTTATCTCTGAAAGTCTTTTAATTAGCTTTTGTGAATTTAATCACAATGAAATTTTCAACTATGCTCGTACTTCTCAGCGATATTTAGGCATATTGTGATTTAATTATGGCATACATACCACAGAAACTTAATGACTTCTAGTGGTTTAAAACTGTTTCTTTACAAATATAACCTGCACTTGATTACGTAACAACTTTTTACTTTCAAATTCCACCACGAAAATGAATTTGCTTACCAGTTTTAAATTACTGAATAATTTTGAAAAAATTTTACAGGAAAAGCAAAGACAAAAAAGAGGTTTGGAACTAATTGCTAGTGAAAATTTCACATCAAAAGCCGTTTATGATGCATTGGGCTCATCAATGTCAAATAAGTATTCAGAAGGTTACCCCGGGGTTAGGTTGGTCATTTATATAAATTTTAACTCAGATATAATAAAGGCTTGTCAATGATAAGCTTTTATTTCTCTTTGTACTTGAACAGAGCTTTTTCTTGACTTATCAGATTTTCAATTTATATTGTAGTTGGTGAGCTGAAATCATACATTATACGTCTTTATGAATCATGTCGTGATAAAATTACGTGTGTTTGAGCATATTTCAGATATTATGGTGGCAATGAGTTCATCGATCAGATGGAAAGGTTATGTCAGAGTCGTGCTCTGCAGGTATTTGTTTTGTCTTTTCTGTTTTTAAATACAAAGAATCCAAATAATCTGTTTGTTATTATGTTTCAGATAATGAGTGCAACATTTAGCTTCTTAAATTTATTTGTAGATTATTAGAAATAAAAGGTTAATAAATTTTATGAATAGAATTTGACAATGAAAAGCGAAGGATTTGTTACAGATGTTAGTTATAGATTAATTTAATTACACTGTCTTTAAGCCTTTTGACTTATAAAATCACGTTTTGTCTTTAAAAATTGAAAATAACAGCATATTAAACAAATTTTTGTTCGTGCAATAGTACTGTATAGAAAACTGAAACTGCAGTGCAATTCACATTTATTACTTTCTAACACAAACCAATATTTATGTTTCTTCTAAATGTTTATTTTTTTTAGCGATGTTGTACTGTTTCATCGTGAATAAAAAACACTATTATTACATTTTTGTTCATTTTTCGAATGAATTTTGAAGGTTTTTGGTTTGGATAAAGAGAAATGGGGTGTCAATGTTCAAAGTCTTTCGGGTGCACCAGCGAATCTTGCTGTTTATGTAGGATTAATGGAACCAAATGGTCGAATCATGGGTCTGGACTTACCAGATGGCGGCCATCTCAGTCATGGGTAAGTTTTTTAAAATAGCATTGCATAAAAGCATGTTCCAAAAATTATTTTATTAATTTATCAGGGCAGGAATTTGCCTGCTTGAAGCAAGATTATCTGCTGTTTAAAACTTTTGTAAAAGCAGCACTGACTAAAAATTTTATCTCACCAGTATTTATGCAACTCTTTACAATTATGAAAATTTTAATTTCCAAAGAATTTTGTTTTCAGTAGTTTGTAAAATTGTAAATGAGTTTTGAATATGTGAATTTACTGACATACAAAGAAGATAGCATTTATTTTCAATGCTCGTGCTCTTAGTAAAAACTTATTTCGCTTCTAAACTGTATACAGATTTACAGATTTTTTACACCACAAAAAAAAATCTCAGCCACATCTGTATTCTTTCAATCAATGCCATACAAAGTTGATCCCAAAACTGGTTACATCGATTATGATCAGCTGGAGCGTAATGCCTTGCTATTTCGTCCAAAGATTATTATAGCCGGTAGATTTAAAACTTACTCATAACTAAAATTTCAAGCCTGGAATCTTCATATCTCTTATTTTTTCAAGTTCACACATTTTTTAAGAATTATTTTCATTAATTTAAAGCTTTACATCCATGTCATTGATGAAAAATTCGTTGAAATTTCCCTCGCATTTTCATTTCAGAAAATATTTTGCATATTATTAATAAGGAATACATCCAAGAACTTTTTTGATGACTTTTTAGAATAAAAATGACGTTTTTTGTTTTGGAATATCAAATATTAAAAACTTAAAATCCAAAATTGTAACATTTCTTTGTTTCCATTTTCAGGTACAAGTTGCTATTCACGTAATCTAGATTACAGTCGTTTCCGGCAGATAGCTGATAAATGTAATGCTTATTTATTGGCTGATATGGCTCATATCTCAGGTTTAGTTGCTGCGAATTCAGTTCCATCGCCGTTTGAATATGCTGATGTCGTTACTACAACAACACATAAGACTTTGCGTGGTCCTCGTGGTGCACTAATTTTCTACAGAATAGGTATGAAGCCAAAATTTAGCTTTTAAACTAGATTTACTAGTCTTCTATTAAAAATTTTACAGGTTTGAAAGAAGTTACATCAAAGGGTGAAAAAATTATGTATGACTTGGCACAAAAAATAGATTTCGCGGTATTTCCAGGTTTACAAGGAGGTCCTCATAATCATACAATTGCCGGTATAATTTCATGATTTTATTCTTCTATTTAATTTGGGAAACATTTAAATACTACAAGCATAAATATCATATTAAAAACAAAAATACTCACAAGAAGTCCGAATTTTTATTTAAATAGTCCGTAAACATAGCAGTTACATCAAGTTTATTGCAGCATAGAGATATAATTTTTGGTGTTTAGTTCTCTCCTAATAACTGCTTTTTTAAAGAAAAAAAATTCTATTCACCTGAAAATTCAATTCTTAATTTAGCCATCGCTGTTGCTTTGTACCAATGTCTCACAGAAGAATTTGTTATTTATTCAAAACAAATTTTGGCAAATTCACAAGCGCTTGCAAGAAGATTGATAGAACATGGCTATACTTTGGTCACAGGTTGCTTATACATTTGTTTTATTTTTTTTGCTTCAATTTTTTCATCTGAAATATCTTTGCATCACATATTTTTCTACTTATTATTTTGTTTCTGTTGAAGGTGGAACTGATAATCATCTTTGTTTGGTGGATTTACGACCAAAGGGTCTGGATGGTGGTAGAGTGGAGCACGTACTTGACTTAGCTCATATCATTTGTAATCGCAATACATGCCCAGGTACTTATTTTTAAACAAGGAATACATTGTGTTCTGCAATTTATGCAACAACAAAAAACAAAAGCATTCTGAAAAAGAGACAGTTTTCGCTAGGTTCTAAAATTAACAAAGTGACATAACTTCTTAGCCTTACTTTAGTTTTCACTTATCATACTAAGGCACAGTTTAGCTTCAAAGTCTTCCACTTAGATCGAAAAACTTTATTGAGTTTTTGTTCACATTTCTTTTTCATTACAGTTTATATTTTGGTGCTTAGTCATTACCATAAAATTTAGGAGATCAGAGTGCTTTACGTCCTGGTGGGATTCGTCTTGGAACACCAGCTTTAACCACCAGAGGACTAAAAGAAGCTGATTTCATTACAGTTGCTGATTTTATTCATGAAGGTGGAACTTCATTTATACCTCTATATTTAAAAAGATATTTTTCTGACTTTTTAATTTTTTAATATCATATAAAGTTTTTTTAAGATGCTTTTAAACCGTAATACCAAGCACAATATATTCAAAGGATGCATTGACATTTCAGGAGTACAAATTTTGATGAAATATCAGTCAGAAACGGGTAAAACTTTAAAAAGTTTGAAAGAGTTCACCAGTTCTAATGAAGCGTTCAAGATTGATATCAATAAATTAGCAGAAAAAGTGGAACAGTTCGCAAGCAAGTTTGATATCCCAGGGAACGATGAGATCTAAAAGCAAAAATTTGGCGCAAAAAATTATTTTTCCTCTTTACAATATCATTTGAATGAGTTTCATACGAATCGCAAAAGAGTCATTTTTTCAAATTGATGTATGAAATATCTGCACAATGCAAGAATACCTTGAAGCTTTAAGTCATCTCTTTGAATGAGCAAATAGTAGATCGCAAAATGAGAATCTTCACCTTTGAATCAGGCAGGTAGTTAATTTGTCGAATGCCTGCTTAGTAAGATGGATTTGTATTTACTCATTCTTTTATATTCTCATGCATACACATTTCAGGCGGGAAAAAAGTAATGTGTTGAATATAATTTCTTATCTTTATCATTCTAGGTTTTCTATTTAGCAATTTTTTCACTTTTTACATTCAAATTAAAAGTTCACTTATTTTTGTGACTCTTGATTCTTGATGTTTCGATTTCTGTTCATGTGAAGATATGTTTTTAGTGTTTAATATACATTAAGTGCTCTTTGCCATTTTGATCAGTTTGCTAATTTATGCTTAGAATAATTTTTCTCTTAATGAATGGTTGAATCACAAAGTTCTGTTGCAGAGCCTGTACACATATTGTTATAATGAAAATGGTTGAGAAAGAAATATCTATTAGTTTTATGTAATTACTTTTCATGATTTTCCAAAATGATTTTTGTGTACAAATTATTTGACTATAAAGAAGTCTTAAGCAAAAATCAATGGATTTTCATTTCCATTCAGACATGTTAAGAATTCAGTGATAAAAGTAATCTCAAAGTTGCATAAAAGTTGTGCTTAGTACTCGAATTCATTTAGAAGCGCTTCGTCAGGAAATCTGATTATCTTCTATTTCCAATTATCCATTGTAATAGTTTAGGCTAGAATTGTCTTGAAACTGCATGATTCGTCCAGAATACCTAAAATCCGATTCATAAATCAAAGAAAACCGCTCCATAATTGAAACTGAGTGCTGAATTCATAACTTATCTGCTCAAATTTTATTTTGCTATTCTGAAATAAAGTCATGTACTTAAATTAATTTCTCATCTCAAAGCAAATTAAAATTAGGTAATTTGAGGGAAAGATTCGAATTTCCATGAAGAAACAGTAAAAGACATAAAGAAGAACACATTGGGCTTACTTGATTCGTTGTAGAAGACATACATTTTCAACTAAAATCATTAATTTGTTTTAGAAATGATAGCTAAGAAAGTTTTCTACTAGTATTCTCCGAACTAATTTCTATCTGTGTTAAACTTTAAAATCAATCAACAAAACATTGATTCGCGGCGGAATAGTCGAAAATTATAACTGATATACGATGAATTGCATCAGTTAATGATGAATTGTATCGGATAATGCATCCCGTTCCTCTGCACTGCCTTTAAATTGAGTAAAACGGCAAATGCTAAGAATGTAAAAAGATTCATTCGTCTACACAATTTTTTGCTACGATTAGTTAGCTTTTAAATCCATTGAACTAACTGCTGTCTTCTTTATCGCTTGCTTTCTTTTGCATACACAAATTATTTCAATAACTAATCTATTTTAGAGTAGAAAATAGAAAAGTCTTAAAAGATAAATTGAAAATTTATTCATAATTAAATTTATAAAATATTAACGAATACATTTTTATTATTTTACAGTTTATTTATGGTATTCGTATTCAAAAAATAAGGCGCGAAATGCTTACATTACTAATTTTTATAATGTTTTTCTCAATAACCATAAATGGTGACTGTGAGAATACTCAACACAATGTTAATCAACATCCATTGCATCAACAAAATGCACAATCATTTCAGCAAGTAACTTCTAATTATCATGTATCATTCAGGGAAATAAAATTTGAAAATGATAAATTAAAATTATAAAATGTTAACCGATCTATTAATCTCATCAAAACACAATGATTTCTGACATACCTTTCATTTTTATACTCTTTTAATAATTTATTAAATGTCATTACCATAAATAAATATCATTACCAACAAAAGTTTTCAGACTCAAAATGCTATTACACCTCAACAAAACAGACAAACGGATGACCACGCCCAAATATTTATAGGTAACATATTTATACATTATTCACGTTTTCCTTAAATTCAATTAAACTTTAAGTTTCGCTTTTCATGCGAATAATTTGAAAATAAAGTACAGTAATTACTCCCATTCTTTTCTAGATTCATTTATAAATGTTTCACAAATTTAATTTTAAATATGTACCATGACAATTTTAATTATAGTTCTAAATCATGTAATAATAAGTTATTACAAAATGTTTAAAATCTCATAGATGTCCCTTCTGGAGATAAGTGTGATTCTGTCGGTGATAAAATAGCAAATAATCATGACTGCACCAGTTACTACGAATGTTATTATGGAAAATACGAATTAAAATTGTGTCCCAGTGGTACTTTTTTCGATCCAAAAGTAGGTGTTGATTTGAAATTTATTTATTTTTTGTTTCATTCTGAGATAGAATTATTAATAAATATTTCAGATGAAAACTTGGGAAAAAAACCATCATATATGGAATGAAATTCAATTTAAAAATAATTTTATAGTTGAAATGCTGCCACAGAAATTATATTTGCCCAAATCGAGCTTATGATTTGCCCACAACTCCTTCATTTTCGTGTAAATATGGAGAATTACGAGCTGACGATACAAGTTGCCAGAATTATTACTCATGTGTTGGAGATGATCGTCACTTTGAACGTCGAGTTTGTCCTGATGGCAAAATATTCGATCGTCGTGTAAACCGATGCGTATATGATACTACAGAAAAAGGATGCCAGCAATCGGTTGATACGCAGAAATCGCAAAATACTGCCATAGGATTGGCATGTACTGTAAGTAAAGTAAAGAACTATTTCAAACTGATGTTAATCAGAGTTATTTTGCAAAGAAATAGCATCTTAAATAAATGCGATATAGTGATTAAGTCCTTATTTTTATTGACAAATACTAGCCTATTTTATGTGCTCTAAACAAAAATTTTGATTTGCTGTATTAATCGTAGTGACCCTTATTTTTGAGATAATTTTAGTGTCACCAAATTTTAGGAAAGTAGTGGTTCATCCGGTTATAGCGCTGATCCAACTGACTGTCAACAATACTACCAATGTGCTCAGGGTCGATGGGTGCGAATGCATTGTCCTGGTAATCTTGTATGGAATCCAGCTATCAGTGTTTGTGATTGGCCCAAAAATACATTACTTTCTTGCAAGCTGGACAGTAGTTTTCAGTAAGATTAATTTATTCAAAACTTAATTGCATGGACTTATTTGTTTAACAAAAGTTTTCAATTTCAAATGAAATTTTATATTTTTAGTTTGAATATTTCTTATTTCATCAGTTTACACTTCATAATTTTTCATTTCTTCAAGGTGCTTTAAAAATGAAAAGTGTTACCAAAATTGTGCAATTGAATAACTTTTGGGGATATCATGGCAATATGGTCAATAAATATTTTTAAAAGTGATTGGTTTTTGAAACTTTTCAAAGTTACATCCTAAAGCAACAAATTCTATACTATTTGATTCCGCAACTAAAATTTTTTTCATTGGTACCAAAATAAACTGAAATAATAATGCATCAGTAATTTGAGAAGAATAGGAAGAATTCAAATTAGTACACATTTAGATGATGAGATAATTGAAAGTTTCATCAATTTAATTTATACAACAAATTTTGAAAAAGAAACGTTCTTTAATTTTTCATACTTTACGTTCAATAATAATACGATAAATAATT